CTTGGTTTTCGATTCTTTGTAACTGTTTCTATAGTTGTATAGTTAATTGATAAATTTTATAATTCTTTTATTTTTTTATAAAATAAAGATATTTATTTATTTTAACGTTTCTTCTACTTGCAGGTTTAAATAAAAGTTACATAAAAATTATCAATGTTCAAAAGAGATGTCAAATAATATCCTAAAAGGATCTAGTATGTGTGTACAAGAAAACGATTAAAAGAGACATAAACGATACTCTAAGAAGGGCCTGATATGTATGGGTGAATGAAATCTTTTAAATTAAGGGCGACATTAAAATATGGTTTTAAATGAGTATAGAAATAGGAAATGTTACTATTTTATTATATAAACATTTCAATTTGATGCGATCTAGATTCATATTCCTATACATATCTATATAATGTAAAATAACTAACTTTGTCTATTAATATTAACATTACCATTTTATATAAATGTTTCAATTTGGCTTTCGATTCTTTGTAACTGTTTCTGTAGTTGTAATAGTTATAATATAATAGTTGTATAGCTATATATTGTGATAAAACTATATAAAATTAAAAAATAAAATCTAAGTACTAGTATCTTTGTACTCTTTGTATTCATTTTGTTGAAGTCTTCCTATTTTAACTCAAGTGGTACTAGCTTTAATTGAAAAACAAAAAAATTTGTTTCCATATTGCTAATTCAACTCAAATGATATCATTTGTATAAAAGATTTGGTATCAATAAGTGGCGTCAAGGTATATAATCGTACTACATTCTATTATAAAAACCTATTATAAAAATTGCGTTATTCTATTAAACCCAAGTGATATATAACACGACAAAATGCGTGATATTATTTTAAAAATGACCTTTTTAAAAAAAGTTAAAAAATTATAGTATAGGGATGTATAGAGATGTGCTTGAAAAAAGAAGAAACTTTTGTACCAAGTTAAAAAATGGAGTTTAATCGGCAATATATTATTTTTACTTTAAGGAAATACAACCTAAGTGGTACATACCTCTGTATCTTCACTAAAGAATTTCTTTACTCTAATTACTAACTAATGTGATAGTAGTTTTAATTTTAAAAAAATTATGTTACGAAATTGCCATACCTAACTCAATTCTAGTTGTGATTAAACTAAAAAATAAATCTAAGTGCTAGTATCTTTGTATTTTCATTGAAGTCTTTCTATTCTAACCCAAGTGATACTAGCTTTAATTAAAAAACAAAAAATTTGTTTTTACATTGCCAACTTAACTCAAATGATATCATTTGTATAAAAAATTTAATATCAATAACTGGCGTCAAGTTATAATTCTATAAAAATTGCGTTATTCTACTAAAGTGATATGTAAAGTTAAAAAATAATCAATCTACTTGACAATATCTTTTATTTTCTTTTTACTCCAATCTATGTGGTAATAGTTTTAATTCTTTAAAAAAAAGTTATGTTACGAAATTGCCATATCTAATGCAATTTTAGTTGTGATCAAACTAAAAAATAAAATCTAAATGCTAGTATCTTTGTGATCTTTGTATTCATTGAAGAGCCTACCTATTCTAATTCAAATGGTACTAGTTTTAATTAAAAAACAAAAAAATTTGTTTCCATATTGCTAACTCAATTCAAATGATATTACTTGTATAAAAGATCTGATATCAATGGCGCCAAGTAATCCAATCTTCCTATTCTCATCCAAATGATACTAGCCTTAATTCTTCAAAAAAAGAAAATTTCGTTTCCATTGCTAACTCAAATGATTGTGTAAAATTTGTATAAAAGATTTGATATCAATAATTGGCGCCAAGTTATAGTCCTACAAACATGGAGCTACAAGTCCACTTTAATCAAATTATATATTTCAATCGTATAAAAGATTTGATAAACCACTGTTTAAAAAAAATAAAACTCAAGTAGTAGTATCTTTAATTTAAAAATAATAAAAACCAAATTATATGTATATCTTTCTATCCATTTAAGACTTCTTTTTCTAACTCAAATGGTAGTAATTATTTAGCTTTAAAATATTATTATATCACAAAATTGCTTTATTCAACCTACGTTTTTATCACAAAGAATTAAAAAGTAACAGTATAAAATAAATGAAAAAATTTTATTTAAATAAAAAAATTTTTATGTAAAAATATTTGGCGCTCAGACCAAACGAAAATGTAAAACTAATGACGAAATTATTTGAATGTTATAAATAAGGCAAGATTTATTGTTTAATATGATCATTACAATTATACACACACACACACACACACACACACACACACACACACACACACACACTAC